GGGACCAAGTGGGATCTGAGAGAGGCTGCGGGCTTCTTGGTGGTGTATGCAGAGCCTGACTCTTGTTTCTGGGGATGTCCGGAGCTCTGAAGGTGAGTGTCTATTTTTCGCCGGGGTAGGGGGAGGTTGCCAGTGTATGGGGGGGCGATGGTAGTGGAAGGCCCACTCGGGTGGGGGGGCCGGGGTGTTGTTGGTCAATGTCAGGCTCTCTTCATCTTCATGGGGGAGGCGGGTGTTGGTCAGTGTCAGGGTCTCTCCGTGGTGGTGGTGGGGAGCTGATTTTTGTGTTGCCTAGGGCAGCACGAAACCTAAATACACCACTGACTGTAACTACACTAATACCTAGGTAAAACAACAAAAACATTTGAAAGCATACATTGCCGGTAAAGAAAAAATGCAATGGTTTGAGGGGGTGTTTACTTTACATTTTTTTTATATTCTGCAGCACCAGCTGCACCCTGTGATGCAACTCCAGGTATGGTAAATTGAAAGGCCTGCCTTCTTCTAGTTAATGCGTAATATGCGTAAAGGGGTGGTGTCTGAAATTTTAATGATGCCATCATGCTAATGAGTGCTCAGGATCCATTAGAGTAATGCTGAGCTGTGCAATTGGTTCCATTTCTTAGGTTCACATACAGTATATTGGACTGGTTTAACATGTGCCTCTACTACTCTGCGTGTGAGTGTTTTTAATCCTTAATATTGCTGAATAAAGCATTCAGAGAGCACTATGGGAGTGTTTTTCTTTAATATGGATGCATATGTAGTGATGAGTATTATGCAAGAATTTTTGCTATGGAAGATCTAAAGAAACTCTTTGGACAAATATTGTTATTGATAAATATTGCTTCCAATGCCTACTGATGGCTGGGTATTTTTTTCCCCTACTGACCAATGATGCCAGGCATTTTTTTTCCCACTGACCAATTACCAATGGCGCAGGGCATTCTTTCTCCCACTAACCACCAGCACTAGAGATTTTATTCCCAACCAATGATTAGCAGTGTAAGTCGCACCATTTTACACAATCCAAATTCCTGCACTCTGCTGACTGTGTTGCACATTACATACCACTGACCAATCTAGTCTAATTAATGTGACACAAATTACATAGTTCTGACTGATGCATTTTGTAAGATGACCTGTCCATTACATTCTACTTCATACAAACTGTACAGTACATTACACACTACTGATATGGCAGGGTGCAAAGCATTATGGGGTTTAAAAAAGAAAAAAACTGAAATTTTCATGTTCCCTCTCTCTGACTGATGAATCCTGTACACAGCAGGGGAAAGGGGGAAAGGAAAGGCAGAGTAGGGATAAGTCACTGCCCTGACTGTTTCAAAAGTTTTTCAAAAGGAAGCTTAAGCTTTGAAGCAACAGCCATTTTTTGGCAAAGTAGGTCAGGCAAGTCTGCCAAATATATAAAAAGCAGACCAAATCTTCATCTGCTAACGGAAAATGAAAATACAAAATATTCATGCATAATATTTCACATTTAGCCACCAACTTTGTTTTTAATTTGTAAGTCCTTATCATTATAAATTAAAAAATATATATGTAAAACTACTACACAAATAATAAAAAGTGGCACACTTGGTATACCCAAGTATTAATACTGATGATAGTTTCTTGGTTTTGCAGGTCAGACGAGCTTTAAGAAATCCTGCAGAACCATAATTCTTGCAGAAACATAATTTCCATACAGAAGTGCAACATCAAGCACATTGTGAGGAGCCAGAATGTACCTTGTGCTTATCATTTGGGATTGAAATGAACCAGCAAAGCAATGAAGGCTGCCATCTCTCTTTGTGCTATTCTCAGCATCTTTGGCTTATTTATGCCATTGCTAATGTATTCTAGGGACAGCAAATATTCAAATTATTCCTTGGCCCTCTGAAGATGTGTCAGAAGGGGGGGGAGAGGAGACGACTGACGCGGCCTGTCCCTTTCCTCCTTTTCTTCTTTACACACTCAATACTACAATGGACACATTGCACGAGGGAAATGACTTGTCGCCTCTCCTCCGGACATGCTTCCTGGCTCCTTGCTGCACTACATTAGCTAACACTTACACAATGGGCTTCATGTTTAAAGCTGTTTGGATCCTTGTATCCTGCCTTCCTGTCATCCTTTATAGCATTTATCAAGCTTTAATCTGATGTAATTGTACCATTAATAACTGTTCCTGGATGAAAGGAGCATAAGAGTTTGTATAGCAATTGATGAATTAAAAACGAAGTTGACAGTTTATTTAGACTGTCAGAAGACATTTTCCGTTATATACTAAGACAGCACAACAATGGAGTACACCGGTAGCTCCTGCTGTTCCAGATGGCACCTTTGCTGTCAATTCTCCAATGCAGTACTATGGAAATTTATTCCACAGGCAAATGCAGACAGAGAGCAGCTAACTGAAATGTAGTGTCTTCAGCAGGGGCGGACTGACAACTCATGGGGCCCCCGGGCAATAGGGGATCATGGGGCCCCTGTGTCCTTTCCCACAATCAAAGCACACCCAAAAAAGCATATAAAAGGTACCAGGGGCATTTCATGGGGCCCTTTACTGACCCGGGCCCTCGGGCAGTGCCCGCGTGTTCGAATAGTCAGTCCGCCCCTGGTCTTCAGCGTATTGCAGCTCTCTTTCTGTTGGTTCTAACTTTATGTAGGTTATCAGCCCTTCAGTTTATCATGAATATTAGTGTGAGACCTACCCACCTTACCAAGCATTCAGTGCACGCCACCACTGCATGCCAATTCCTTTACTGGCTTCTTCTTGTTCGATGAATACAATTTAAATTGTTAACAACTACAAAGTCACCCATGCCTCTGCCCCAAGCTACATCACCAATTTCATCTCAAAATATCATTCCTCCCGTCCTCTGGAAATCCTACCCCAATCTGTACAGATATCTCCTACTCTGTCCATCTTTGGACAACCCCTGAAAACTTATCTATCCTACCTCCACCTAATAAACTGTACTTCTACTTTCTTCACCAACTCATTCCTCGCAATTATTACCGTTTGCATCACTTGGCCCTCCCGTTTAGTTTAGCCCGCTGTTGGCAGATGTCACTTAGCCCGGCCAGGCTCAGGAATGATTTCAACAGATGCCTGGACCAACAGATGGCTCAGCCTCTCAGCAAGCCGCTGAGAGCCTGAGCCAGCCACTCTCGTACTGCAGTGAGCACTGGAGGGACAGAGCAGAGAGCGGCGACTGATAGTCACCATCTCTCTGCAGACTGAAGACCGAGAACTGAGCGATCAGCGGTGTTTGATCGCTCAGTTTTCAGTCTTAGAACCAGTGGGGGGGATAGATGCAGAATGTGCGTCCACGTAAAGGAATGTGATTGCTTGTTTGTTTTTTTTCAATTCCCGAACTTCTCTTTTACACTCTTTGCACACTGGCTTAAAAAAAACACTGCTTCTAGATAAGTTTAGCATTTTGCCTGTAGAAGCAACTAATATTATCCTAGGAGTCCATACACATTTGATCGTTTAGAGGTGTTTTTTAAGCTCAGTGTTTAGGGGCAGAAAAAAAAACCTTTCTGTTTTGAGTTTTTCAGAGTGTTTTTCTGGCAGAAAAAAAGAATGCTAAATGCTCCTAAATGCTGCTAAATGCTTCTTTATGCTATTACAAAAAAATTATCACAATTGGCATTTTTTTCTTCTGCCAAGAGCACTGCCATTTTTTTTAAGCCAGTGTGCATGGAGCCTTAAGCAAAGAACTCTATTTAGGTACTATATATAAAATTGCAGCTTGAAAGCACTATAATAAAGCATGCAATCCAGTCTCAGAGCTAGCATCTCTCCCCTAGTTACTGTATCACTGTCCCTGCAGTATTCTAAATCCTATTATACTTAATGGGAAAACATGTATTACAAGAAACTATTACAATCCATTTCAGCATGCATCCTTGAGCCAAGATTTATTTATCTGCCAATGGTGAAAACAAAACAGGCCTGGAAGAACTGTTTTCCAGCAAGTGACTATATCATTTTCACTGATGTGCCAATTTTAAAAAGACCCCAAACCAAAACTATTATTTATAAGAAAAGGCATATCAGGATCTTTAAACAGGCCACATAGGATCTTCTGTCCTAGGAGGGCAATATAAATCTGTATCAATAATTTGATTACTCGGCGGCTGATTAAGAACAGATAGCGGATATTGCTATCTGATCTCTAACAAACATTGTAATGTTTATTCCACACGCCTCCTGTATTCAATTATTAGATAGCACTCTGTGATTGGAGCAGAGGTAGGTCATATGACTTGTGAGTATGTCATGTGGCTGGGCTTTCCTCCACCTCACTTTTTTTTTCTTTCCCCATTTATTAATTTGAATGGAGCGTCACTTGCTGTGGAGTCCAATCCTTAGCAGGGTCTCATGTTCAGTCCAAGGCTCAGCAGGATCTCGCGACCTAAAGCCATCTTGCACTGCAGACCACTGAGTTTTGATGGTCAAATAATAAGCAACCTCAAAATCAGTACAGCTAAGCTGATTATATGCTGCTAACTAAATGACTGTTTGTTGGTCCTAACCAATTGTCCTGTATGGCTTCTCCTTCCGGCTCTGTTATATACAGTATATGTGTTCCCATGAGCATGTTATCAGGCTGGTAAAAGGAGCAGTTAGTTCTGAAACATATAGCCATGCTCCCTGCATTGCGGCCCTCCCAGGTATGACGGGATTTCCAATCTTGCACTGTCCATTTCCTCCAGGATTTCTGGTTTCATGTCTGGTGTCCTACACAGCTCCTGACAGTGGTAAGTGCTTCCTGGCTCCTAAAGAAATACTGAGGCTCAACAGCAAAATGCACTGGGTGGATTACATGCTGCTATCCTTATGCATCTTGTGAGCTGTCACTTGTGATTTTTTCATAGTCTTTCCTATATACTACACTTAGCTGGCGCCCTCTGCTGTTTCCTTTGTTAGTGCACTGTGCCTTCACAATCTGGGAGGCACTCCTGAAGCTAAATTTCACGCTGAGCTGAGTAGTCAGCTAAGAAGTATCTGTTGTCATCATTCTTCTGTAGACAGTTTTTTTGTAAATGTCATTTCTTGCTGTATTCTTAGCTTATAACCTGATACAAATATTAAATATTAATTTAGCCTGAAATGTTATCACTAGAATTACAATCATACCAGGGTATACAGGCACAGAGGTAAGTTTATATGGCGTTAATTGCGCACATGTGACTACATACGTAATGTTTGTGCGAATTTGATTTGATATCAGCTTCTTGCAATCCTCTGTACAGCAGCATTCAGAATGGGAGAGGGACCAGGGCCGGATCTAGCCTGTCTGATGTGGGGGTGCAGTTAAAAATGTGAGGGGGGGGACAGAGGATGGGAGGCCAGAAGGGCAATGTACAGGGGATCAGCAAGACAAAATATTAGGTTAGCAGTTTGTATGGCAGTGTACAGAGGCTACTATCTTGCAGGGCAGTGTACAGGGTTAGGACAGGAGGCAGCTGAGCAAAGGGTGGGAGGTCTGAATTGAAGTATACAGGAATCAGTATGGCAGTGTTTAGGGGGTTAGTAGGGCAGAGAGACATGGGGTCAGCAGGAAAGAGGATGGGGTCTGCAGGCCAGTGTACAGGGGTTAGCAGAGCGAGGATAGTGGTCAGCTGAGCTGAGGATAGGGGTGGCTGCTATTGTGCACATGCATGTCTTCAGGGGTACACCCATTGCCAACGTCAGGATATAACACCATTTAAATAGCCTGCCAGGTGCGCCTCTAATTATCAGGTGCCATTTTGTTTAAGTCCATTACTAAACTACCAGATGCCATTTTTTTGAAGACCAGTATCCAACAGACAAAGGCGCATTAAGGAGTTTCCACATTATTTCACTATGGGACATTAGATATCCATATCTTTCCCTGGATCATGCGACCAGCAACATCCAGGAGACATTTTATCGGTAAACAATATCTAATAGATATAAGCACATCCAAAGATTTGCACAATGAGGAGTGCTGCTGCCTGTGTCCAGACTGTGTACAGTGCAGGGATGGAATAAGGAGCTCAGCGGCAGGGCACAGCACTTGGGGTGGAGGGAGGAGGGGAGGGCTTTGGCTTCTTTTTTTTTTTTCTCCTATTTCTTAAAGGCTCAGTTCATCTTTGGAACATGTTCTATGTTTCACCTGTGTTTAGGGTGGAACATGTAACAGGTTCCAGCACCTGCCCCCTCTTCCCTCCCTCCCTGTGACAGTGGGCAATGGTTCTTCTCCCTGCACCTACTGTCACTTTTTAAAAAGAGCGTGGCTGTGCGGGGCTCTGCCCACATGGCAGCATCATTCATTCACAGATTCCTGTGAAAGAATAAACTACAAGTACCATCTTCCACAGCGACAGATGTAGTTATCAATGGGCTGTAGGGGCGCAGATAAGTGCTATGGTAGTCCACTGACATATCTTCCAGCTTTCAAACACAGGTACGGGCTGAAAGCTAGAAGATATGTCTCAGGAGCCCACACTGCTCCTGACCTATTCTCTACTACTGATGCTACAGGTGCAATGCTTTCTGGGTTTCCTGCTGAAAAAAATAATAAATTAACATTTTTCCAGCAAAAATATGCCTGCCTGCCCGGCTATCTGCTGTTGCAGCTCTGCACCTCAGCCGCCAGTCTGCTGAAAGCTCTGACAAGCCACACATCCTGGGCCTGCAGTGCAAGTCGAGAGCCCCCTTAACCATGGCTGGACTACTGAGCATGGCTACTGTTCCTGATCTGATGGTTCACCGGTTCCCTTGGGACTACATCTCCTACTGCAGGTTCTCCTATCAACATCTGCCTGCACTCATGTTCATGCTATTCCTCAGTGCCCTCTGTTCCACTCTCAGTGGGGCCTGGCCTGGAGATACTAGAGAGGCCAACCTTGTCATTTTAGTCTCCTCTCAGGTACGTGACAAATATACTGCTGGCACCAACTTGCTCATCACCTACTGATTGCACATAGAAACACACTAACGGGTCTCAAACAGGTCAAGAAACCAAGTTCCGAGACAGAAGCGAGGTCAGAGGATTAGTCAGGGTCATCAACAGGTGGGCAGTGAGGTACCAAATAAGCAGAGACGAAGTTAGGAACAAGCCAGGTCAGGAACTGGCGACAAGTCAAGAGCAGAATCTGAAATCAGGTCAAGAGCAAGCCAGGTCAGTAACAAAGGAACACACTGGAAGAACGCAGGACACAAGGAACATCTGAAGACCAGTCAGTACTGACAGTGAGCAAGAGCATCCCTTAAATAGCCCATTTGGAGCCAATGAACTGTGGGCACTCTCCCGCATGCATGGACATGTGTGCGCGGATTCCTGCTCGCATACCCGAGTCAATGCTTTTTTATATTAGTGATGCACCTGTGCTCATTTCTATGAGTGCAGCTATGCGCATTTCTATGTGTCAGTCGCCACACTAGAAAGTGCTGAGTGCTGTCATTTTCCTAGATGTGCAGTGTGGCAGAGCTGTGTAAATCTCTGGACTCAGTGGACAGAAATACAAATCCATTGGAAGAAAAACCGCTCTCATATACAGTGTCTGTTTAGCTGTTTATATGGAGTTTAGCTTTAACAGTCTTGCTAGGGCAGATAAGTTAAAATAGCTGAAGGGTAACATCAGACTGTTGGTTCATGTCCCAGATAGAAAGTAGCAGAAGGGAGGGACATAGGGGTCAATTCACTAAAGGTGACCGCAAGTGATAACACTGTCACGTGACTCATTTGCATAAATTATCACATGCGGTAAAAAAATGTCTATATATACATATAAAATGCAGCGCTGTAAAATGATGAAATCATGCAAATCAACACAATAATAGTCCTGAAAAGGTGCTCTTTAACCTCCCTGGTGGTATGATCATGTCAGGAATTTTGTGCTGAAAGCGGTACCATTTTTTTGCATGGAAATATGTAGTTTTTAATTGTAGGCTGTAATTTTTAGGAATAACTCACTGAAATCTGTCCGAACAAGAGTCTATTAAACATCCCGGGGAGGATAAAACTTGAAACACAAAATCATAAATTATAATTTAATTAATAATCATAAAAAATAATAATATAATAATAATCAATTTAATTCAATAATATAATCAAACCAAAAACACTGAAATTTGAAATACAGAGGCAAATTCGCACATCGCTGAGCAAAGTCGCAAAATCGTTTTCAGTGTCTGATGACGAATTTCCCCACAAATCATTATCACTCAATTCTGCAAGTGGTTCTGATTTACTATCGCTGTTCTAAAACCGCTTTTGATGTAAAGGGACGCTTTTTGGCTGCCATGGACTTTTCTAAGTTTCCAGGCAGAAAGAACAGTCAAAATGCAGGCAGGGCACAGGACAAAGCAGTGGGGACAAAATGTATGTGAAATGCAGTGAAAAAGCAATGACAGCAAAAATGTCATTTTTTAAAAATTTCAAATTTCCCGCCGGTTCCGCCGCCCGAACGTTCCGACGTCACGGGGACCGGAACACGGAAGTCAGATGCCGGCATCCGCCAGAGGAGATGGACGGGGACGCTGCAGGGGACACATCGTGGGAGCGAAGGACAAGGTAAGTGCTGCAGGGACCCCCAGAGAACGCTGCATGGTAAGCCCGAGTGTAGCTCGGGGTTACCGTTCTTGGTATAGAAATTCTACCCTGAGCTACACTCGGGAAAACCGCTAAGGAGGTTAATTCCCAGTGCCAATGGAAAGAATGCAAACTAACCAGAAGCGCATTTAAAGTACGCATGTGTGTAAGAAATCCTGGAGATTCCCCTCTCTCCCTCTGGTCAGAAAATGGATATGTGCTGGAATGGATGATGACAACGCCCTTTGTGGAAAAGCGAAATCCTGCAGGCCAGGAAGCTCCCAGGATAGGATATTCCTCTTCAATGGAACCAGGGCTGGGATTGAAATCACTCTGTGGCTGTGAAATTGGGAGAGAGACCCCTCACAGAGGACACAGAGAGATACTCATAGTGTAGTATATTACTTCAATTTATTTAAAAAAACCAAGTAAAAAACATGTAATCAGGTGGCAAGTGAAAGTGACCCACTGACCCTCTTAAAATTAAAGGTGGCCGCTGGGCCTCCACATGGCACCGGCGGCGTAATGTCAACGACGTCCACAGGCTCCTCCTAAAAAAATGTCCAATGAAAAAAAAAACGAATAACGTTTCTGTGGTATTTAACGCAAAATTAAAAATGTGTCCGTAAATTCCCCAAAAAAAACATGCAGTAAGCTGTTATGTCCAATTCACAAACAGAACAGAAAGTAAAAAAAAAGATGGGATATTTATCACCAGGATTTTGCTGGCGGTATCACATGTAGTATTTTTTCAGATGTAGCGAGGGGGTCTCCCCCCAACCCCTAGGGATCTGGTATGGATATTAAGAGGAACCCTACGCCAAAATGTAAAAAAAAAAACAAATAGGGTGTCCCCCCCAATCCGTACCAGACCCAAAATCCTTTAGGATTGTGAGGGAACCTGCGCGCCATTTTTTTTTTATTTTGGTGATGGGTTCCCCCAAAATCCATACCAGACCTAAGGGCCCTTTGTTTTTTTAATTTTGGTGTGGGGTTTTCCTTAAAATCCATACCAGACCCCAAAGGGCCTGGTATTGATGAGGGGGAAGCCCCATGCTGTTTTTTTCATCATTTGTAATTGTTGGCATGTTTTGTTTACATTCAGCTGTCAGTGGAACACCCGCTGACAGCTGATGAGTCATCCGTTGTTAAGGATGCCACAGTTGGTTTCCTTGATGACCAACTACTGTACGATAAATTACTGCATGAAATATGCGGTAATTACAGCATACAGATATTTTACCGCAAGAGTTTACCTCAAAATTTTTAGTGAATTGCATATTTGCACAAAAATTACCGCATTTTTGCAGTCGTTATTTAACTCTTAGTGAATTAACCCCATTAACCATTCAAATTATCCAGCATGCTGCAGAGCAAGGCCCTTTCTCTGTGTGTAAAAGCAGTGGTCTCTACGCAAAGGTCTAATGTGCTGTGGCAGACCTAGAGCTCTCCAGTCAGCAGGGAACATGAACTTTTCTGATTGCAGAGCTATCGGTGATGGCTGATGCAACAGGAGTGTGTTGGACCACCGCAGAAAGACCACTGCTTCCACACAGAGAACAAAGGTCCTGCTCTACAGCAAA